TCTGCATCAAGTTCATTTCCATGTATTTCGTGTTTTACTCTGGATGATGAGTCTTCAGCCAAGCCATTGCCTTCCTTAGGGCTCCTTTCACCTCCTTGTTTCTAATTGTATAAATAAAGGGGTTCAGAAGGGGTGTGAGGATAGTATTCAGCACTGACACCACCTTATTCATCTTAAAAGAGGAGTGTGCCGTGGGTCTCAGGTACATGAACAAAACAGCTCCATAGAGCAGGGAGACAACCGTCAGGTGAGAGGCACAGGTAGAGAAAGCCTTCTGGCGGCCAGTAGCTGAAGGAATCCGTAGGATGGTGGCCAGGATATAGATATAAGAAATCACAGTGAAAAGGAGTGACCCTGGGATCACCAGGATGGTTGCCAAGAGACCCAGGAGCTCCAAAATGCTTGTGTCTGCACAGGCTGCTTTCAAGATGGGACCGACATCACAGTAGAAGTGATTGATGACATTGTTGCCACAGAATGGCAACTGGATGAGCAGTACCATCTGACAAAAGACGATGGTGAAGCCCAGCACCCAAGAGCTGAGGGCCAGTTGCAGGCATAGCTTGCTGGTCATGATGGTGGGATAGTGAAGGGGCTTGCAGATGGCCAGATAACGGTCAAAAGACATGGTGGTGAGGATGAGGAACTCCGTGGTGCCCAGGAAGAAGTGGAAGAAGGCCTGCAGCAGGCAGCAGGGGGTGCAGATAACTGTTCTTGCCTCCACAAAAGTTTCTAGCAGTTTGGGGATGACCGTGGTGGTGTACCAGATCTCCAGGAAGGACAAGTTGCAAAGGAAGAAGTACATTGGAGTTTGTAGCCTGGGCTCAGCCCAGACAATGGTAATAATGAGCCCATTACCTGCAAGGGTTAATATGTAGATGAAAAAGATGACTATAAAGAGCAGGATCTGCAGTCCTTGGATGCCGGGAAAGCCTAGGAGGATGAACTCTTTGACTGCAGTGCCATTTCTCATGTCCCTGGATGCTCTGGGAAGACAGGCAACAGGCAAGAAGCTAGCTCCTTAGAATCTCACACTCAAAGTTCAGACCGAAGGAAAACAAAAAAAAGGATTCTGATTCTATTTAAGGTCCTTCAGGACATCCCCCCCAACCCTGAACATGCACACACATACCAAGCACTGCTTCCCTACTCATGATTTGGCTTGTTCCTTTGGCAGCTAAACCAGATTTTCATGGACTTTGAAAATACCAAGTACAGCTAATGGGTTGGAAAAGTACTTTTTCACCCCTACACAGCTATGAGAATAATCATTGTAATGTGGTGGCTTATCTGTCCATATGCCACATAATTATTTAAAATGAACAGTGTATATAATGATATGACTGCATAAGCCCAGCTGCTGGCTCATAAGAAATAAATGCTCACTCTCCTCTTATCATCTGAAAGAAAATTCTTGACTTACATCACAAATATGTTTAAGGAAGCTGATTTTATACATACACACGTGTGTGTATTTAACTAAAAATCATTGCTGTTACCTGCTAGCAGTGAGATACCATCCAGATAATAGAACAGATGTTTTTCTGAAGAACCCCTGCCCAAATTCTAACTCAGACTCTTTTTTTTTTAAAGTAGACTAAAAAAATATTCAAAGTTAAATGAATAGAATTGCTTAGCAAGCAGGGTAATGTACTAAACTTTGATTCAAAATTCCAAGACCAACTGAGTCAGAGCCTAATACATGAAAGAACCTATCCAATGCATATTGGGTAAAGATCTATAGACACAAACCTAAAAAAGTGAAAAGTTTAGCAAATGCTAAGGATAACAGACCAGAAATCCTGGAAGTGTATTCCTGTTAAACCCTTCCTTTGTGACTGAGTATCTTTCTATACCAAGTAAAGCGTTCTTGTTTGTAAATGTAGATTCATAGGCTGAACACTTTCTGTTCCACTAAAATTCACCAGAAAACAGTAAAACTACTTCCTGTCTTACTGGGATATTCTTTCATATGTTTCTTCTTTGCAATGGGTGACATAAGTTGCTATGAAATGAATCGCACGATTTTCAAAATATATAGAAAACTTAGCACAAAGAGGCAGTTCACAGTTGATGGACAGATCGCACCAGGAAAGAATAATTTTTTGTCTATAATGTCAAAAGCCCCAGTTCTTTTCTATGAAACTATGAGTCAGAAAAGTATTTCAATTTGTACCAGTGGCCAAGGGATATAGCTGGCCATGAGCCTGGTCCCTCTGAACAGGGTAGATATAGATTTATGTTCGCTCCCCATACAGAGGAGAGTGGCATACTCTCCTGGCCAATACACAATTTCTAAGGGCTAAACACTCCACAGTTCCACCGAATGAGATCTATTTATTCCACAAGCTTTTGTTGAGAGCTTACTATTCTCCAAGTCCTGCTAGGGGATTAAGGAGTTCATCATTCAGGTAGGGAGAGAGACCATATACAGCAATTACAGCACAGCCCAGTGAGTGAAATTGGAGAGGTGTGCGCAGACTGTTTTGGGAACAACAGGAAGAGACCCCTTACCCAACCTGGGTGGGGGTTCACGAAGGTTTTCCAGAGAGGGAGGTGCCTAAGCTGAGCCCTGGAGGAGTTCAATAGGAAAAGAGAGTGGAATATGGAGGGGGAAAAGCATTCCAGACAAGGATCTAATTAATGTTTATGAAATTGAACTTGAGCTGAAGCTGGAGTCAGGCTTGTCCACTTCTGATAACTTTACAGGTGGGTCAGGCCTCCTGTAAGTCAGTTTGCAAGATGGATTCATGAGGTCTTTAGAGGGGAGAATCTTGGGGGTTTGCTAACATGGGGCAAATATGTGTGTGTGTAAAATATGGTGTCAGTCTTCCTTCCCAACGCACGTCCACGTTTATCTATGCTTTATGGAGGAAGGGGCTGCAGGTGGTGACTGAATGAGCTCTTTCAAGATTCTGGAGTGACATAGTCAGGACCTTGATTGACATCCAAATGCCTTAGCATGGCATTCAAGGCCACTGATGATCTGCTTTTACCCACCTCATCTTCCAGCCTGAGCTTCTGCCATTTCCCCTTCTTCCTTCCCATTCTAGGCTCCATACTTACTGAATCACCCAGGTTCAGAGTTTGGCAAACTATGGCCCTGTTTTTGTAAATGAAGTTTTACTGGAACCACACTAATTCATTTACAGATTGCCTGTGGCTGCTTTTGTGCTACAGTGGCAGACTTGAGTAGTTGCAACAGAGACCAGATGGCCCCCAAAGCCTAAAATACTCACTTTTTATCAGGCCTGTATTTACAGAAACAATTTGCCAAGCCTTGCTCTAGTTCCCTGAAGGTGCCAGCCTCCAGCCTCCCTCTTCTCCTAATCTTTGTTCATGCTGTTCCTTTTGCCTAGAATACCCTTCCCCAAGCCCCATCATTTGGCTAAGCCCTATCTGACTTCTGGATCTCAGCTGGGGAGCCACTCACGGGCAGCCTTCTCTGATTTCCCGTTTCTTCTAGTTTAGGTGCTCTTACATGCTTCCATAACACCCTGTGCTTATCTTCACCTGAACACTTAGAAGATTGTATTTCCTGTTTCCTTGGCTTCCTCCATAAACTCTAAGGCCCTTGAGGGCAGCAATAGTGTCTGTAGGACCTAAACAGGGAACTTGGCACAAAATAAACCCTCAAAAAGATGCTTTCTGAATGATTATATAAGTGGAAAATTTGTGGCCACTGTGTCCCCAGTTACTTATAAATTTATGTATACTGTGTATGTGCATATGTTTGTAAAATGCTACTATCTATGTATTTCAAATGCTGGAGACATTTTAACGGACTGTTTGCTGAATAATTTGTCTCTGAGGCTGCTGTTGCTTCCAGCTTTTCTTTATGTAAGTTTTGCTGCATGCAAATCTTTCTGCTCCATCTGGGATTATGTGCTTCCTACTGCGTTCTGGTCATTCTCTCAGCCCTTCACACTGCCCTGAGTACAAACATCTTTCTTCACCCACTTAATGCTCAATAGTTTGAGATGGAGTTGAATCATTTTTCTCTAAGCTATGTTGTTGCAATCAAGCATCCGTCATGGTTCTTAATCTTCTCATAGAAGAAATCTTTTCAAAAGAAGAAAAAAAGTAGAAAAATATTAACATATTTCTTTTCTGGATTTGGGCTAAGGGCAATATGTCCCAAGCCTTGTTTTTTGTTCTGTTTTGTTTGCTTAGTCACTTTGTTTCTTAATTGTTGATAAAGGCCAACTCAATTTTTTTTAAGACTTTGATCACATAGTCAATTTGAAGGTGCCCAATGGTGTACAGTCTTGAAACAATGGCACCCAGAGTATGTACTGTAAACTCCACAAGGGAAGTGCATCAAGGATCACTGCCTGGGGAACTGCACTAAGCTGGGATGAGAATAAAGACAATCAGTCTGGAATGCACCCCAAGGATTGATGGTTTGGGATAAGATGCAGTGAATTAATCCTGCTTTTACTTAGGAAGCTCCAAGTCCAAGTTATTGTTACGATTTTCTACATGAGACTGAAATTCATTTATTGGAATTTACATCAGGGCTTCAAGGCAGCAAGGCTACTGCGTCTGTTTATTCTAGAGAACAGCAAAACTTTGCCCAAAATAATACTCTGTGGCAACACAATACTCACAGCACTAATGATTCCCAGGGAAACACTTCGGTCCTGAGCATCCTTGTCCACGAGTGGACTGAAATAAAAGGAGAGACTGGTTATCAAGGCAGTCTAATTGAAACAGAAAAATTTCCTTCTCCTTTTGCACAAGGAAAAGAAATCTTTCTAGAATTTAAGGCAAGTGTCGTTATGCAATCGCTGAATTCTATTCCTACAGCTTTCAAGAAATGGCAAGCTTTTTGCAGCATTTAGGAGAATTGTATTGAAAGTGATTAACAGATCAGTTCACACTTGATCTAGGTCAAGATTTCTTCTCTCAAAATAATGATTTGTTAGTGGGGCGTTTTCATTGCTTCCTCTGGGACATCAGTCTCCATGGATGTGCTCCAGAGACTCCCAGGAGCAAAGGGAGGTCTCACTAAAAGTTTATTCATAAGTCAAGCTGAGGAATTTGCAGTTTTCTAAATTCTAATTGGTACCAATCATCTCAGTACTCCTGAGATAATTAATCAAAGGCTGAGAAAAACTGATTTTATGAGTTTTAGATCTTGAGTTTCTCTCAATTAAATACCTTGTTTAAACGAGAATTCCTTTTGATCCAGCCATCCATCCATCCCCCTACTGAACTCATTTATATGTTTTGATCAGGCCATCCTTTTGTTATATAATATTCAGCAAACAGCTCATCTGTCTTGTAATATTTGGTATTTAAATCAGACTGCTAGATCTTATATCTTGATGTAATTTAGGTCTGAGAGCTGCCAGGGGAAACAACTCAAAGCCCATTAATAACTGTAATTTTTAAAAATATGTCTAGAAATCGAAGAGGTCCTTGAGCAAAGTGAGTTAAAAGAGAGCACTCTGTAAGCTCTGAGAGGTAAATCACCAAGTGTGAGAAGTCTGGTAAGGCAGAGTTGGCTTATCCGCAGGACAATTTTAGAGGATACAGGGGTGTTCCAGGTACAGGACGGAGTGATGCTTGTCCACTCTTCTGACCAAGCCATCTTTCCCCTTCACGTTCTTTCCTAGAGTGTGCTGTACTCAGGGAATGAGAGGACCAGGGTTAAATGTAGAACTTCGTTATGAGGGAAACAAACAGCCCTAGGAATTGTTGGGAAAGAAAAAATTTCCTTCTAGCCTGCTAGGTTCTTTGGCTGGTCTAGTAATCAAATTGACATAAGACAGATTTACAGGAGAAAAACAACCGGAAATTTCGTAACTTGTATAGTATAACTTCTGTGTACATGGGAGAGACCCAGGACACTGAGTAACTCACCAAAGTGGCCAAAGCCACCACCTAAAATAGCATCAGCTAAAGACAAAAGAAGATGTTGGGGGTGGGGGGAACCAGTTAAGGGAGGTTACCAGGAAAAGTACAGTAGACAAGGGTAAAGTTGGTACAAGTTTAAGTTCTTGTCTTCTGAACCGATAAAGAGTTTCTGGAGCCAAGGTCACCCCCCCCCCTTCCTGGTATAGTGAGGGAGACACCCTCACAAGTAAAGCTTTCCCTTATACATATAAATGTCTCTTACGAAAGGGTAACTTCTCAGTTTTCTGGCCTTCTCCCATGTCTGCAGTTTGCTTAAAATAATCCTTATGCCAAAGAGACATATTTTGGGGTCACCAGCCCTGCTCTCGCACGGAATACTTGCCAGGCTGACTCACTTGGATGTCATGATCTGGGAGGACAGGACTGGAGGTTTTTCCAGCAAGCACTGGAATATGTGGTGTGAGGACTAGTACAGATGAAAAATAAGAGGCTAATTCTCCCCGTTGAAAATAAAGGAAGAGGCTTCTTTCTTCTGCCTTTTCTTGGAGCACAGACTTTCGAAAATTTCTAATTGTAAGGTCTTCCTTTGCCTGTTTGAAATGTATATAATTTTTTTGTAGAAGCTAAATAGGCCTCTTGCTAGCTTAATGACCGAGAAATGTCTGTCTCAAGGATGTGGCGCCATCTTTTTGAAACGTAAACAGCAAGGGAGAGAGGGCTGTATCTCACAGCTTCTGTGGAAGGGTAGGAGCCTACCTTACTTGGGTGTCTTTCTCCAAGCTGCAGAGCTTTCCTGACATAAAGATATGAGAGGCATTTTTTCCTCTGGATAAAACCAATTAGCGAACACAGATGGTCCCTCCAATTACCAGATGAATCTAGGATGAACTATGTCTTGCAGATGGTGCTGTCAATTCCTCTTACTTGAGGACTGGTTATTGTTTATCTTGAAAATGTGTACATTATGGATTGTGTTTGCTTCGTTACGTGAGAAGATGCTGTTTCTTTCTGTCGTTGCAAAAGCCCTTGTGATTTGCCAGCCTGCAATTTGCCTCAGATTCTGGTTTAATGCTTATTTAATAATAAAAGTATTTTCTTTCTGTGTTACCTTTGTGGAGAGGTTTTCTGGGTTGGGAGATTTTGTATTTAATTATATTTCCCCAAAAATGGGTAATGGAGGAGAAGCAAGTTTTGAAATGTTCAGATTCAGGGGGAGGGTATAGCTCACTGGTAGAGTGGGTATGCACGAGGTCCTGGGCTCAATCCCCAGTACCTCCACTAAAAATAAATAAATAAATAAATAAACCTAATTACCTCCACCCCCTAAAAAACCCAAACAAACAAACAAACTTTTTTTAAATAAAATGTTTAGAGCCAGAAGTGTGAGGAGCAAGAGTGAGTCTGTGAAAAATTCTTCCCATCATTGGTCATGTGAGAAATGGTCAAGCAGAGTTTCGTTGATGCTTATTCAAAGCAGAAATTCTCTATTGTCAGGTGTACATTCTGTAATGCACCACATACTTTTACGATATCCTGTAGCTGTTTATCTTAAATTTGATGGAA